ACTTTAGCCATGTAGAAATGGCCCCAGTCTGAACAAAACTAACTTGCATATTCATCATATTTCAGGTTCCTAAGTTTGTTCCAGAATGAGATAAAATGAAATGCATATTTTAGAAAAAAGTCAAAATATATGAATAAGAAGGTACAACTTAACTTCAAACATACATTATTTTATCTTACTAAAGTCTTCAATAAGCAATATGTTTGAATCAGTTACTGTTCACTTTACTACAGGTTTCTTTTTTTGCATTTACTATAGAGTTGTTTAAAGTAAAATCTGGTTTATGATTAAATTTAAGGTAGATTTGTGTAATCTAGATCTCTGTAGTGATTTGACAAATTGATTCAATAAAATTGAATTTTGAACATTTCAAGGTCAGGGAAAGCTTAATGAAAGGGGAGAGTCTTGTATTTATTTTTATCTCCCTCCAGATAACGATGTCTCTTTTTTCTCTGTAGCCTTACTTGGGATCAATAGCAATCCAAGTGAGCCCAACTGTCTATGTTCATTTTGTTCTTAGTAGCTCTTTTTCATCACAAATGATCATATTAAGAAGGCTTGGCAGTGGGGCCTTTAATTATAAAGCTAGTACCAGAGTAATGTTATATGTGCCAACAAAAAGAAGCTTCAATGCTAATATCAAATAATCACAGAAGATTCTACCCAGCAAAGTTAGACCCATGCATGGACAGAAAGGTGATAAAATAGTTTCATCCATGTAGTCTTCCTGCTTCTCGTTATAAGTCATGGTCTTACTTTGACTTTGGATTTCTCCCCAGTAGGACTTCCCAAATTCAAACCATACCTTCCACTTCTACAATTAAAAAAGATACCAGTAACCCTATTTCTCAGTGGAAAAATTGTCTATTGGCTCAGTTTGTGGACTTTGAGTCAAGATGCTGAATTTCCTGAAAATTTGATCATATTTAAGGACTAGGTAGCTCTCAATCATGGCTAGAGATCAGAATCATTTGTGAAGCATTCTGATTCAGGTTTCTAAATCAGAATCTCTGGGGGATAAATCTCAGATATCTATGTTAAAAAATAAAACTAAAACAACTGGAATCAAGGGAACAGAAGTGGAAAATTGTTTTCATAAATTGAAGTTAGTATGTGGTCACTGTAAGAGTCCACTAGAAAGTTTTTCAAAGATCAGTAATGTGGAAAGCAATAATAAAATCTTCCCATTGATGAGAGCTAGCACCTCCTGACATCCCATGAGTCCTTTGCACAACTCTCTCTGATTCAGTATTGGCTTATTTCCCAGCAACTTGGAAGATATATCCATTTTCCTTTCTTCGTTTTCTCTTCCTATTGGCTCTTAGGAATCGATGTACAGCAAATATTAAATGATTCTGTAACTATTCTGAATTCTGTTTCCCAATTATAAATTAATTTCTCTATCCTAAGTTCACATCTAGTTTTGTCACAAAGCTTTACATTTTGCTATTTTTATATTTCTGCCTCCTTGGAAACCAGTGCAGAAACATTTTTGAAGCATGTATTATGTGTAAAGCGCTGTACAGTAATCTGGGAATAAGAAAAGCAGACAAAGACACAGTAGCATGTACAGTGTATTTAAGGCTAGCTGGTGAGACAGCGAAAGGCAACTCAAATATATAAATATAATATAAAACAAATGCCCAGTGAGTGATAAAAAATACAATCTAGGAAAGGGAAAGCTCTAACCTGAATGATAGATGTAATTCAAAGAAACAAAGAGGAAAATGAGAAGGGAAACATGGATTAGAGCTAGAAACAAAAAGCCTTGAATGCCAGCATATGGTCTTTATCTACAGCCAGAGAATTCGTTAGAAGTTTTTTTTTTTCTTTTTTCTTTTCTTGGATTTAAAAAATTCAGATGGCGTTTTCATGTTTAGATAGGGAAATAACAGAAGAATTTAATCTGTCACAAAATAAATCTATGAAAACAGAATATGGTTAATTTCTCAGTATGAAATGCTATAATGTTAAAGGTAAAAGAACTTTAAGTAGCAAGTCTGCAATGGTTTATTGTCTGAGTATGTTATTAAATTTAATTCCCCCAAGTGGCATTATGTTTTTCCCTTTCCATTCTTAGCTGTTAACAACCATGATGTTGAAATAACAGAATTATTGTATTTACCAAATATAATAAGATGTCAGTGACTGCCACTTTTAAGTTAAACTCATTCAATAATTTTATATGTAAATATTACTCACAATACTCTTCTTTTTCTTTTTTTAAAGCCCTGTATCTTGATGAACAATATTCAACAACTGCGGGTCCAGCTGGAAAAAATGTTTGAATCCATGGGAGGAAAAGAGGTGAGTATGTTTTTACTCCTACATTTACCAAATACCTACTTAGAGATCATTAGCAGTGTATCTCTTGCTATAGAAAGTGTCTTAATCAAGTTTTTACATGGTTTATCTAAGAACATAAACTGATAATAATCTAAAATCCCATTAACAACTAAAACGATTATTATCCACAACAGAATACTTCAGCAAATACATCAGAAGTGTGAATGGGAGATGGGAGGAGTAAGATAGCCAGCAGCCCTCTGTGTGTGTGTGCGTGTGTGTGTATGTGTGTATAATCACATATACACTACTATATACGCTAATCTATAAAGTTCCAAAAATTGTAAATGTTTTTTACTTTCTTGTACAATGTCAGTTTGATATCTATGTTTGTTCTGAAATATGCTTTGTGATATTAGTGGTTTTTTATGATTCGGAGGTTTATTTTTCACATGGAAAAAGTTCTGTCAAAAATGTGTTGTGTGCTGTGTCTGTAATGTGTCATGTCTTTGTCCAACATCTTTGACCTGCAATTCCATGAGCAGAAGAAGGAAGGAGAAAGATTCTTTTATGAGGTTTGTGATAGTGCGCATCTTATCCTTTACCTGGCTGTTTCCCCACACACACACCTAAAGACCATTGCACCTCTGACTTATTCTCATTTGCTTGTTTGGAATAGACAGGCAGCAAAATACTAGCTGTGCACCTGCCTCTTCCTGCCTGCAGAGTCTTTTCTTGCACAAACTGATGTGAGCATCTGGGGACTGAGGACTGAAGAAGGTGCTGAGAGGGAGCGTCGTAAAGCCCCCCACCCCCATGAAACAATCCTAAGGGTGGCTTTGTCAAGAATATATAGTGGATATTTCTGTTTAAGATCTGTTTACATTGTTCCTTACTGTGACAAAGGTTATGAAAGGCATGTAAACCTAGATTGGATTTCAAAGCAAATATCCCTTTTATTTCTAAATTTATGACACTAAAAATGCTTCTTTTAAGGTTGACCTCCTCACGTGTGATTTTGCTCTAAACCCCAAGGAAACATTTATACATTTCTCCCAATGTCTATTTCCTTTACAGTCTTTTGAAAAATGAACTTGCTATTTAGCATCCCTCAAATGAGAAGCACGAGGATACAGGTGTGATGGTGCAAAACGTTACAAAAAAATGAAATTTTATAAGCTGTGCTTCCATTGCAATCTCAGTTTAATGTGTATAAAATAAGGCTTCATTCCCTAAAGTATGTTAATGCTTTTTACAAGGTCTGAGAGCATCAATCTCATTTGAAAATTCTTCTGCTGAATTAGGTGAACGCAAGCAACTGGGGATCATAACTTGAGATTCTCCTTTTTAATTTTAGTGATGTTTTATATTCAGACTTTAAGTCCACTTACTGTTTAGAAAAGCAGTGCAGAAATTTTTGATTTCTTGTGGGAAATACGATTTCCTTTCAGTGAATTTTAAAGGCCACAAATCATTTAAGAATAAGTTATATTTAAAATGTCATATTTCTAGAAATTTGTCCTTATGCTACTACTGTCTCATGACTATTCTGTGTTTGAACTTTAAGTGAATAATATATTGCCAAGCTGAACTTAATCAGATAAATTAAAAAAGACCAACCACACAAATCAGACCTGTACTTAAAGGAAACTTTATTGGTTAAGCCACCTGCTAACTAAAAATGTCACAGGGTGGCTTGTTTACCAACCAAAAATAGACGCCTTATTTCAGATAAAATTGCTAGTTTTAAATGTACTGGTTTCACATAATAATTTTAATTTCAAATATATGACTATATCACAGAACTCTTCTTACTGGAGAAAATAATGAAAACAGAAATCCTGAGTTTTGTGCCTTTTCCTTTTATAACTCTTACAATGTCTACTCGTTAAACTTCCCAGACATAATTTGAAGGTATAATCTAATTAAATAAATAACTGTAATGAAATTAATACCTAGCTTCTGACAATATAATCTGTTCATGGGATAGCATTGACCCTAGCTCCTTTCTTTTCCTACATTTAAATATTTTTCATCTCCTTCCTCTGTCTCTTTACTCTGTTCTCCTCTTTTATCTCTTTCTCTATGCATAATTTTTTCTCTTATCCTCTTGCCTTTTCATCTCTTGTCTTCTATTGCTAAGGAGAAGCTTTAGGCAGGCCCAGTCAGCATTGACAGAGGGATTAATGAAATGTCAGAAGGAAGAAAGTCCAGTATCTAAGTCCAACTGTAACATGCATCCTCCCAGACAAAAATAAGATTAATTAATACAGAATTATGTTATAGTTGCTGGTTGCTACACTCAGCCTCCTTTAAGCATCAGAATTGCAAAATAATAGGCAGAGTTTTTCTAATACTGTTATCTATATATGACAGTATCTAAAAGGATTCCTTAACTTGGGGCTTTTACAAAGATGAAAAAGGATTTGATTGAAAATGAAATAATTCATCCTTTGATATGAGAAGTGTATACAGCACTTGATACAGATATGTTCAATGGCCTTTAAAGGTTATACAATGTGTACTAATGCCAATTCCCAGTTTTTTCTTCACAGTGGAACTGGTTATAAAACCTTAACTGGTCTTACCAACGGAAACTTTCCAGCCTACACCTTCTTCTTCTTTTTTTAAGAGTATCTTATTATGTCGCCCCCTACCATCTGTGCTAGGTTGTGAACTTCTTGCTACAAAAATTAAATAGCAAATGATTGCTTGTGCATTTGCTCAAAATAGTTTTTAACCTCATGTGTTTACTAGTTGGCTTCTAACAACATTGCTTGCCTCTAATACTATCTGCAAAGTGCTGGCCGCTTGCAGGCATGGTTGCATGGTGGATGCTGCAGCTCTCTGCTGCTTTGACCTGATCAATGTGTTGTTGGGGCAGTTGTTCGTTCTTTACAGGATCGGCCTCTTTTCCTTCTGTAAACAGAAGGATTGTTTAAAACCTTTTCTTTTTTTTTTTTTGATGGAAAAAAATCTGCTTTCCTTATGGAATCCAGGATGGAAACATGGCCTAATGCTATGACAATGTTGGGATTATGTTATTGACAATGGCTCCAAAAACAGTCACTTAAGCAATAACTGTTAAACAACTGCACACACAATATCCTGTGGGTCATGTCAGCACATTTATTTTCTAATGCCCTATTTAGAAAAAAAAAATCAAAATACAAGAGCGAACCACTAAATTTCTTCTCCTGTGAAGTGACTTTCCAACATGCTTCTCTGCATACAAACCAAGAGCATGTTTTGGCATAACATCTCTAACTCCTCTAGAGAACATTTTAAAAAATACCTCCTAAACCATGAAGAAATACTAACCTTTAGGAATGAGGTCCAGAAGTCTG